GCTGCATCGAGTGCGAACTCGAAGTGCATCGCTTACAACTTTCCGGCCAGCCTTGTGCCCTCGACTCTCTCTTCCCAGACCCCCAAAAGGATCTAAACAATACATCCCCCTAAGGGGGTTCCTATAAAGTACCCTTTAGTAGTTAGGGTCCCTAATTAGGGGATCTAGTTTTTAGATCATTTTGGGGGTCTGGGTATTTGAAGCCTTGGATGCCAGAATACAGGATTGTCAACTATCGGAGTTCGGTGTCTCACAGCTATAGATTTCAACAGTTATACCCAGGCCCCCAAAAGGATCTGAAAATAGATCCCCCAAGGGGTTCCTATGAAGTACCCTTTAGTAGCCTCCCAAGCTCTGAGAAGCCCCAGGGACCCTGGAGTACCCAGACCCCCAAAAGGATCTAAAAAATAGATCCCCTAATTAGGGACCCTAACTACTAAAGGGTACTTTATAGGAACCCCCCTTAGGGGATCTGCTCTTTAGATCCTTTTGGGGGTCTGGGTATAAGTCAAAGTCCATCAACTTCGGATGCATCAGCTGCCCGCAACGAGAAGCCACTGCAGACTGCTACATGGGTGGTTGTCAAAATTATGGTCCCTTTTTGGGTCCTTATTATAATACGGCACCTATTATTTAGGGTACCCCAAAAGGGACCATAATTTTGACAACTACCCACATGGAAATATGAATGAGCGCAAGTCGAAGACAGCCATACTAGTAAACCAATGACTCGTACAAACAACAATCGCGATGATATTACCCGTATTGCCATCAGCAATACTTCCAAAAGTGTTGCTGTCGTATCAACAATCCCTCGCCCCAACCCTCGGAGAAGTTAGATCGACAGCATTTTCTACACACGGAATATAGCTCAAGTCCTGAGGTACCATAATCCACCAGAACCTAGTTTTTTTGTAGGGTCCCTATAAATTCCATATTAGAGCTTATAATAAGAACCTACAAACAAGTAGGTTTTGGTAGGTTAAGGTAGTTCTAGCATCTATCGGGCTGCCTCAAAAACAAGGTGTCCGAACTGGCAAAGAATGAAGGCAGAAGGCAATCGCCTTTTCGGGTAAGGAAATTACGGTTTCGGGTTTAGGGTTTTAGGGTTTTAGGGATTAGGGTTTTATTGTTTAGGGTTTTAGGGTTTAGGGTTTTAGGGTTTAGGGTTTAGGGTTGAGGGTTTAGGGTTTAGGGTAGGGTTTTAGGGCTTAGGGAAATTAGTAAGTAGTAGGAATTAAGTTAACTACATTCTGCTCACTGTTTCTTGAGGCCTCATCGAAGTGCCTATCACCTACAACTAGCCATACACCCGAAGCGTATGCCCAAAACCCAAACCTACTGGACCTAATTCAGGTTACCTTATATAGTCACCATTTGAACCCTAAACCCTAAACCCTGAAATCTTTGCATGCGGGTGGGACCAAGAGTCTGGAGAAGTCTGGGAATCGGAAAGCCCTACGAATCTACAGCCTGCAGCCCCATAAACTCCTACATCGACAACCCTCAAGTCCTACAAGTTCGGCAAGTCCTACAAAAGCCCCAGCTTCAGACGAAGCAAGAAACCAGTATATGGGTAGTTCTCTAAATTAGGCCCCTTTTAGGGTCCCTTCCAGGGATCTATATGGGTTTCTATGGGAGTACTATAAGGGTTCAATTTGGGCAGTTCTGTAAATCAGGGTCCCTTTGAGGGTGCCGTACTACATTGGGGGCCTTAAAGAGAGACTCTAATTTAGAGAACTACCCATATCCCTGTGAGCTCCCTCCAAGAAAGCCCTCAACCGACCAGGCTGCATGTTCTGACGGCGGACATCAGCCATGCGCTCCTGTTCGGTGGGTTTAATCTATAGTGAATCCCAGAAAGTTAGAACATGGGTTTAGGAGAATTGGTGCTAGGATCCCCTATACTTTGCCTTAAGGGCATGAGGACATTGATGTTCCAACTTTCAGGCTTCTACTGTAGGGGCCTTAATAATTAGAATAGGGCCCAGTATACTATACTATACTTATCATAAGGAACCCCTAGAACAGAAACGCCTAAAAATACTAGTGGTAATCATCAAGGCCCCTATATTACAT